AATGATAGAAAAAGAACGTGAAAAAAAATACTAGAAGCCATTGGAGTAATCTTCTAAAAGGAAATCTTTAATGTTTATTTTAGACTTAGAATGGTAGAATGCAAACGATAAATCCAGGTAATTTGGGATTCGTTATGAAAGATATGTCTAGAAATTATGAAATTCATGTAACACGACTTATAATTCCAATTTGAGCATCTAGCTCAAATAGTTTTAATGTAATATATAGTATGGTTTTTTATTAATTAAAAATGCGTATTTAAATTCGAACTTTACCTTTTTCATAACACAATCTATACTATTTAATAAAATTCTTTATTATGTAACATCAATTCATTTCGGTGGGTAAAGATTTTGTTATTATCTTTTAAAGTTTCGAGTTCAAGCATAAAAATGTAAAATTATAAACATTTATTATCAAATGATTAAATTTTTTTTCTTCACAATATTCTAAATTTTCTATTTATATTCTTTATCTTTTTATTATTTTATTTGATTCAACTTTTAATTAAACTGTAACTACAGATATTTAGAGGTTATATGAAATTGAATTTTTCACTTTATTATATTTTCAGAGATTTTTTTAAAATTTACATCAATCATCTGTTAATAAAGATCTCAAAAACACTGCACTATTTTTGAAATCAATTTTTTTCAGAATCGTTCTTCCAAGTCGTTACTCTTCGTTCTTTGACATAATTTTTAGCCAAGTCAAATTTGATAATTAACAGTCGTATCTGTATAGTATGTCAACCTACTAACAGGTTTGATGACTCTAGTAATAACACTAACCCCCTATAACCTGAATATTTATACTCAGGAGAAAGCTGAAAAAGAGCCCTTTCTCTAGTTTATATTATTCTATCTTTTCTCTCACTGATGAGAGTTCTAAATCGATAATATTTGATTGTTAATTCTTCGATTTTATGGATTTATTACTGTTGATTTGGTTGTATTATGCTTATTTTCGTGCAGGATCTTACTTTTCAGAATCAACAGTAAAAAGGGTGCATTCTGCATTTTTTTATTATTTAGTCACGGCTGGAGACATGGGCACGACTCTGGGCATGACATGGTCTGACGTGGCAGTTTCTAGAAGGTCCAGTCAACAACATTTTTTTAGAATATCTAGTCAGCACCTTCTGGAAGGTGGACGGACAGAGATATCTTAGGGGACTTATTTTTTAAATTTTAAAGTTTGAATTTAGAAAACATTTGGAATTATATTTAGGATTATTTTTATTTTTATTTCTATGTTTATCTCTAGGTTTTAAGAGGCTATAAATACCCTCTTTGGGTAAGCCTAAACATTCAACTCAGATTTCACTCTTCTTCTTATTTCTAGTTTATAAAGTTATTTTCTTTTCTTTTCAAGTTTTCATTTTCATTTTAAGTTTTATTTTTAAACATGCTAAGTATGACTTTTGTCATGCTTAGCTAATTTTCTCATAAGCTGAGAGCTGAAGCGATGACTCAATTCCAACGTGAGAATTGAAAAGCACCTTAATAACATCAGAATATCTCTCTCAATCTTTGCGCTTATTTTTAAAATCAAAACAGTTTTCAAAATCAAAGATTAACTTTGGTCAAGATGTTGTTGCGATTAAATGTGTGGGAGGAAGGATCGGCTTAATGAAAGCACATTCGACTTCTTGGGAACACACTTGGCGAGATTACCTTGCCAAGAGGGAATTAAGATCAGAATTAGTAGTTATTGAAAAAACAATCCGAGTCGGTCTTCACAAACTTAAACAATTATTGATTTAAAACAATTAATGTTGATCAGATCAATTTCTGAAGCCAGAATCAAATACTGCCTTGGGTATTTGGTATACAAAGAAGAGTCATGAGGATTGCCCTTGTAGACAAAGTAGCCGACGTGAATCCAGAAGGAAAAATCTAATTCGATGATCCGAAGGAAATTTATTCAAAACGAAACTTGAGGCTATTTTACCATATTCATTTTCAACCTTACATTTTTATTTTCTTTATTTTTACTTTAAATTGCTTTTTATTATTTAATCTTTTTTACCAAAACCCCATTTCTTTACTACTTATCGCCTGGTTTAAGCAATTCAAACAGAAATTTAGGAATTTTCTAAGTCCCTGAAGATCGACCCTTACTTATCTTTACTATGTATTTCCTTTATTTATTAATTAAGAAGAATGAATTTATTTTGACATCAAAACGACAGTTGTCAAATTACCGCTGTTGTTGGGGACTTCACCAAAGTTACTAATTTTTATTTGCTTTTGATTTATGACCAGGAGAAACCCATGCAAATTAGTGGAGTTTGACCCGGAAATCGAAGCCAGAGCTCGGAGACTTCACGCATAGACGCTTCGGGAAAGAAGGAGACAACAATTAGACCTAGAATCGAATTCAGAATCAAATTCAGGCGAATCCATTAATACCAAACCAAATCTGATGGCCGGTCCCACTATCAGAGAGTTAGCCGCAACTCCTATTGAACAAGAGCCTTTGTGCATTGATTTTCCCCAAGGAGAAACTCCATACTAGTTAAAAAGATTTTCCCCAAGGCGAAACTCCATACCAGTTAAAAACTGGCTTTATTCATCTCCTCCCTACCTTTCGCAGATTACAAAAATAAGAATCCGCATAAACATCTCACGGAATTTCACATGGTATGCTCCAGTATGAGACCACAGGGAGTAAATGATGACCAAATCAAATTTAAAGCTTTTTTTTTCCTTAGTCGACGGCTAAGGAATGATTATTTTATTTACCCCAAATTCTATTACTACATGGACTTAAATGACTCACCTTTTTCTTGACAGATTTCTCCCTGCGGTGAAAGTAAATGAGTTACGAAGAAGAATACTTAGAATCAAACAACTTGATGGAGAGTCACTCTATAACTACTGGGAGAGTCAATCTTGATGGAGATTTGTGTCCATGTGAAAATTAAAGATGATTTTTTATATCAAGATTCAAAGATGATTTTTGATACCAAGATACAAGTATTTCAGAAAACAATAACGTATATAGTTTATAATATATTTTTGACAACTCAAAATTATAATTGTAGACACCCGTTTTTGACCGGGCTTAAAAATATTAATTATTATTATTATTTTTATTGTTTATTTTTATTTATTGTAGGCCTTACAACAAGCCCAACTGGGCCCAGTTAGAAATATCAACCCAGTTACAAATATCAACCTAATTACAAGATGTTGGTTTAAGTTCAAGACCCAGATCCAGACCCAGTTTCAAGACCCGACCCGTTTAGCTGCTGCCTCCCACATGAAGTCGGTGATCAGTACCCCATGCCTCCCACAGAGTACCTATAAACAAAGTCAACAAAGAATTAATAACCCACCGAAAATCAAAACCAAATGCACCTAACCCCGAAAATTAGGGAATGATTTCACCTAAACCTGTCATTATACTACCAAACATAAAGAAATTAATAGGCAAGATGACAAGGAGATTCAGTGAAAAAACGGATAAAAAGAAGAGAGGATGATTCGAACAAGGGAGGGACATTCGGTGAGAACCAGAAATTATCAGGGGAAGAGAAAACACGAAGAAGGGAGAGAAAAAAAATTCACTAACAGGGGGTCGATTATTAGCAAAATAGGGGTTCGATTATCAACAACAAGGGGATTTCATCAACATAGAGAAAGAAAAGCATTGTAACAAGTGTAATTCCCTATCATTTTCCAAAGTAATAAATGTTATCTCTGTGGCATTTCCTAATTTTTTTTAAGGGTCCTAGTGTGCTAACAGTATTTGTGTGATTGTTTCTAAATGAATGAAATTGGAAAATAGAGCTTTCTCTTTCATTTTTACACAAAGAGTTTTTCCTTTATTTTTGAAGAATCAAATATCAAGTTGTCGCGACCGTCTTTCGGTTGGGCCCCGGAATTGGGCTTCGACTTGAATGAATTGGGTTAGAGTCGCCACCGACCATTTTAAAAACGTTTAGGTAGGTCGGACACCATCTTACCTGATCTGCGTTTTACCAGAGATGTGTCGGGTTCGGGAGTCGGTTACGGTGAAGGAAGGATTAGCACCCTTGAACCGCCCTTTCGGTACCAATTAATTTTTCGGTTATCTTAGTAGCGAAAATTAAAATTAAAATTAAAATTTAAAAATTCAATTTGAATTAATTACCTCTGACCAATTGAAATTGCTACTGAAAAAGTCAAGAAGATGTTAGATGGTAAAATAAAATAATTAGAAATTAGAAATTACCTAAAAAATATAATTTAATCGTGAAGATCAAATAAATAAAAAGATTAAATTAAATCTGATATATTTAATTGATTAATCCGATTAAATAAAATATTTACTGACACCTACCATACGATGATTGCACCATCTGAACCACAAATATGGAAAACCAGTAATCACCAAAGAATCAATAAACACAAATTTTAATTCGACAAAACACAAACTCTTGAAGCTGCGTCATAGATAAGTTGTAAAATATACGTGTATATATATATATTTTAAATTGGAAGCACATAATTCCAAGTCCAACCAAGTCTAACAGCTTGAAATTTATGATTTTGAGAGAGACTCCTGTGTGTCAACTGTGTTAAGGCAAAATAAAGTCCAACGACATCCAAAAAACCAATCAATGCTTTCAAAAGTTCATGGGAAATGCATAAGTAACAAGTTTCTCCATGAGCTTAAAATGAATATATTGTTCAAAAATGACCACTGACAGTATTACAATCCTTATCTCTAACATATCCTTCAGCAACTCCACTTAAGAGGTTTCATATTTGAATCTAATTAACAGAGTCATCAAATCAAACTCCACAAGCTACAACAAAAGCTGGAAATTATTTAAAATTACAGCAATATTGCGCTCCTCGGTTCCTCCACGCAGATTCAAATTCCATAACAATAATAAAAAAATACCTGGTATGGATCAAAGCCATCAATTCTCGCAGCAAAGCTTTCTGCCGCATAATATGATTTTTTATCTCCTCTTTTCCACCGATAAGCTTCTCCGCGGCTTTCATCTCATCAGAAGAAGCGTTAAATCGAGTTGGAATGAAGAGTTCGTGTAGTCAATGACTCGCGCGACTTGGAAATAAGCGTCTTATGTGTAGCAGCTAGAACAGGAAAAACATCTGGAATAAGTGATGCATTAAGAAATTCTACTTCATGATTTAGTGTCCCAGCTTGCATAGAGTCCAGGAGTTCCTTGGAATTGGTGGCGTCGGTGAAGAGGGCAAGCGAGAGAGTGTTGCCATTGACTTGAAAAACAGTTGCGAAGGGGGAACCACCACTCGGTGAGGAGGTTGACAATCGATCAGAAACGGGTGTCCAGTATGTCCTCGTACGATCATTAGTTGCAAGGGCTTGGCTACCCATCTCTTTATATTCCCCGAGGAAAAGGAGCAATGCGTAGTTTGGTGCCTGAAAGAAATCCAGAGATGGTGATAGTGGGTTCTTGTTTTTTTGTGATTGGAAGTGGGTTTGAGCAAAGAAATTAAGTGAAAAAGAAATTGAGGAAGAAGTGCATGTATCCCTTCCCCCCATAATCTTGAAATGGCGTGAGTTGAGATGAGAGGAATTCAATCCCCCCTCCTCCTTTTTCCTTCGTGCAGGTCCCCTTTTAAATTAAAAAAAAATGCTAAAAGTCATTTGAAAGTGGAGAGCAATGAGCTTGAGGGAGGAGTGGTCCACAACTCCCATGAAAAACAAAACCCACGTGATTTGTGGTAAAAGTGGTGGAGATAATGGTGGGTAGTGTATGGTGCACTGTTAGAAGCCCGAGAAGTGGCCCTGCATTATGTGAAGCCTTTGCAGCCTCCGTATCCAAATTGGTATGACGTCAATGTTCATTGTGAATATCATGTCGGGGTTCAAAGATATTCCATTGAGAATTATACTGCCTTCAAACATCGAGTCCAACATATTTTGGATCATGAAGTTTTGGAGTTCAAAATGAAAGGTTTGGTGACTGATTATCCTGTTAAGGTGGAGCCAAAAGTGTCCAAATGTAAGGGTATCAGTGAGGACATCCAAGAATAAGTTTGTTTGCCAAAGTACGAAGCTTAGAGTTGTCATCTAAGAAAAGAAAATGATAAATTGAGCGGAGAGATAGAAGCTATGCGGGACGTTTTTCAAAGGATCAGATAAGCCTTTAAATTTGCAGGCATAGGAAATGTCCCAGAGGATTGGATAGCAGAGGTCGCTAAATTGAAGAATGATGTTGAACAGTGGAGAAAGAATTGCAAGGTGCATGAAGGCCGAGCGGATAAGTTTTTTTTATGATTTACAGATTGCAGAGGAAAGGTACGATACAACTATCAATGATTTAGGTAGATATCAAGCCGAAAATCAGACGCTGAATTTATCCATAGCCAAACATGGAAATTTCATATCAACGCCACAGGCGGGAGAATGAAGCTGAGCTAGAAGCCATTAGAGCCAAGAATTAGAAGTTGATGAAGATGTTGGATGATTGTAGTAATCTTATGCAAGAGTTTCATAACCATAATGACTTTCTTACAAGGAAAAATCAACAGTAGTGTCTACAACTCCAAGAATCGGCACTCAAGATAGAGAAAATGGACAACATCATGAAAGAAGCTATGACCCAAGAAAGCAGTGCGGCTCACAAATTGGTTGATTTAGCTGGCTTTGCAAGATAATTGAAGCAAATTGACAACTCAACCCCCGAGCATGAGTGGAAGTTAAAATGGCTTTTGAAGGAGATAGAAAAGCTAGGAGTAGAAGCTGTCAATTATCTGTAAAAGTTTGTTTGATGTACCGAAACCTTTGTGTTGAATGAAAGTTGTTTTAAGATGGTCACTTTGAATGACACCTTTTGTATTTGCATTTAGCATTTGCATTTGCATTGCATGTATTTATTTAAGCATTTTTATGGATTAATTATGAAAACATGGAAATAACTTATGGGAGGTTATGTGACAATAATAACAAGATCATTCATTCATACCACTTCCTCATCATCATGAACAAACAAATAGAAGCAATGGAGCAATCTAATGAGGAATCACAAGATCAGTTGCAAGAACAGTTGGTCGGGTTACAACAAGATACGAGGAATCAAGCATCGAGTTCTCTACAAGGCGCATCGAATCAAATGATTCAGGTATTGGTACCACAAGTGGCTGGAAAAGAGAAAATAGAGGATAAAGGAAATCAATCTCATCAGACTGGTACATCAAGAGCGATAATTTTCCCTGGAGCATCTAACTCAAACCCAGGAATGAGCCTCGTCAAGTTTGAGCAATTTTAAGACGAATTCAAGTGGTTGAATGAAGCCATTAAAGATATGAAGGTCGTTAATGCCTCTCACAAGGAGTTAGAAGCTAGGGAACTTAGTTTGGTCCCTGATTTGGTCATCCCACATGAATTTAGGGTACCTAATTTTGAGATATATGATGGCACCAGTTGCCCCTAATTCATTTGAAAAATGTTTTGTAGAAAGATGGATGGGTACTTAAATGATGATAATTTGCTGATTCATTTCTTCCATGATAGTCTTGCTGGCCCAGCTATAGTATGGTATAACCATTTGAACAAAGAGCAGATCAAGACATGGGTCAACCTAGTTGACGCTTTTTTGGGGCAATATCAATATGTTAAAGACTTAGCCCCAAAATGTCACCACCTTCAAAGGATAAGGATTAAAGCTACTGAGAGCTTTAAAGAATATGCCCTAAGATGGAGATGAGTGGCAGCACAAGTTCAACCTCTTTTGTTAGAAGAAGAAATATCATGTATGTTTCACGATTCTCTTCCAGCTCATTTCTTTGAGTTGATGCTGGGAAATTCGACGAATGGCTTCAAGGATCTTATGACAGCTGGAGAGTTAATTGAAGATGTAATCAGCAAAGGAAACTTGAAAGTCACTTCCAAATATCCAACCGATCAAAAGGAAAAGGCTGATGAGGTAAATGAATGTCACATCCAGAGCTCCCACAACTACAAAAGAAAAGGGGTAGTAGGTTACTCGAGTCGTCCAAAGAAAGTCCCAAGATCAAAAAATACTTTGAAAGTGTTCCAAATTTCTATCTCGGATCTGTATCCCCATTTGGTTAAAGGTCAATACCTCACGCCGAGGCCAGTGAAAGTGAAACCAGACCCTTCTGCTCACAGCTATGATCAATATAGTGCATGTGATTTTCACCTAGGGGCATTGGGGCATTCTACGGGGAATTGTAGGCCACTGTTGAAGGAGATAAAGATGCTTGTGGAAAATGAGACGTTGACACAAGAATTGGTGAAACAATGGATGAAAAGCTCGAATGGAGCGCCATAGCACAATGTGTAGCACCCGGTCGAATCAAACACCACTGCATCAGAAGAATAATGGGGCATTCTGACTGCGCATAAATAATTTTGTTCATCATGAAACTTTTTTTCATTTTCAACATCTTGTTTGAACATGTTTTTTGGACTTTCTCATTAGTTTTTTGTAATGATTTAAATGGATTCATGTTACTTTAAGGATGGTGAGTTTTGAATTGAATTTATGACTTGAAATTCTTTGAATATCAATTGAATTAAAATCTCTTTAATGATTAGAGTTATGAATCTTTGACAAAATGGCAAGATTGAAGCTTGATAAAACAAGGACCTTAACCTTATCCCCAAAAGATACAATAGAACACCATACTATTTTTTACAGGGACCGATATAGCCTTATACTATCATAAAGGAATGAACCATAGGCTTGGTATTCAAGTATACATAGGAGCGGACAACATGGGGCATCTTTTGTGTATGACATCACAAAACTGTCTAGACTATACTTTTTTGACGACGTTCAATGATGATTATGATCTTTACGGATGGAATAGTCGAGTAGGTGAATCTAATTTAGGTCAGTTGCTTGGAAATTGAACTCTAACGATGAGATTTTTTTACTTTCAACAACACCTAGACTATGACAGGTTCTTATTGACAAGCTTAAGAAATTGAATCCGTATGCCCAGGTTATAATATTATATATATTTAATAAAGCCTGATAAAGGTGGTTATATTATATGTATACAATAAAGCTGAGTTATTCCGCTAAGGCAATTGGTTATAGAGGAATCTTGAAAGCTCTGGCTTTATGAATAGATTATATTCAAACCATGACCTTGATCGGGTACTTGGTAATTCGGTGTATGCTCCACTGTGATTGTCAAGTCAAAGACTTTGTGATGAGATGAATCCTTCAGCTAGCCCAATAAAGGCAAATTACAATAAAGCTGATTTCAGCTAGCCAGAAAATGACAAATTAAATCAATTTTATAAATAAGGAGTTGCGGTAAAAATGGAATAAGCGAGTTAAGGAACACCTGTTATAGTCAATTTCACACGTGCACTCAAAAATTTTCATTTTTAGATCGATATTTCTACACTGTCTTGGTTAGAAGAGTCTACGAAGCTTGAACAAATGGAAGATTTCAGAGAACTGAAATATAAGTTTTCTAGAAAGTCTAGTAATTGATTATGCTAGTTGCGTCATTTTGTCCGCATCCAATTAAAATACCAAGCCAAGAAAGAAGGGCATGTTGTAATGATCAAGAAAGAAATAACATTTTGGTGGTCGAAACCTTAGAAGATAGGAAGCCAACTTGAACCAACCCCTAAATTTTAACACTTGTCAAAGAGATATAACCCTGGAAATATTAAAGAGCTATTGATTCTTTTGATATTCTGTGAACTCAGGTTTATGATTTGATGCGATTATGAGCCTGAATTAAGGGGTAATGTTTTATGAAATTCTTTCATTCTTTGATCCCTAAAATAAGAGAAAGAGGAAAATATTTTTAAACATGATAGTTTCAAATACGAAAGGTCCTTGAAGCTGATGAGGCTCATTGTGCCTCTATTAGAGAAGAAGAATAAGCAATGCCAAAACATGAAACATTCCATAATTTTGAAGCAGGTGGTCTAAGAGATCAGAATGAATGAAGAATAAGAACTTGTAACATTTCTTTATGATGTTATCAATAACCCATCAAGAAGAAGAGGACCCTATTATTCAGAAGGGGCACATATTACAGCTTGTAAGACATTTTGTTAGAAATATTGATCACTTCTTAAGTGTTCATGACAAAGTGAAGAGACACCCTCAAACTACTTGACAACACTATTGTGTAGTGACATCAGAATAAGAACATTCAAGTTAAGATAATGTTGGGGCACGACTGAACCCACATCATGTTGAGATGACAAGATTCAGACCAAGGAGGCATGAAGAGTGAGCCTTACAATTTGAGGAGATGGGGCATTTTGAAGGCCCGTACCGGTATAAGATAATGTTTGGGCATGACTGAACCCACATCATGTTGAGATGATATGATTCAGACCAAGGAGGCATGCAGAACGAGCCTTATAATTTGAGGTAATGGGGAATTTTGAAGGTGTGTACCAGTATAAGATAATGTTGCGGCACTAGTAAAGGCCTGTTTCAGCTAGAGGTATTAATGTGGAGCATTTTGAAAGCCTATGAAGATCTGTTGAACGATCATTGAATTAAACAAATAATTCCAATGGGATAGAAATGTATGA